ATAATTTCTGAATTTATATGCAGTCTAACTAGTCAACAATCCAATAAAGTCCATATTTACATGTTTAACATCAGTAAATAATATATTTGACAACAGATGAAATCGATTTTAAATAAAACATAACATAATATATAAACATGAACATTGAAGCTGTTTAATGTTAGCATACAGGTTTTACAATTAAAATAATTAATTCTGGTTAAATATGCGTAATATTTACCTATGAAACATAACCCTCTTATCTATAAACATGTTGTAACAATTTCTGCAGTTTATAACAAAGTCTTTGTACAATTTGTACATTTATAACGTGTTTGATTTCACCGCGCTATGCTCTGCTCATTGATTTCAATGGTTAGCGTTAGCATTAGCTCAATGCATAAAATTCCCCCTWGCGAAGCCACGCCCAGGTCACGTGATGCCCAATCCAGTAATACTGTATATATCAGTGGTTCCACCCAAGGGATTAAACGCCTCGTTTAAGAACTTTTCCACAACAATGTCGCAGGTACTGGGCTACTGCTGCAAACTCTGACTGTCAGTGAGCGAATGAACACAACACAGTGTGTGGGCGGCTCTTTTAAAGGGGAACTCACCGTGGTTAACACAGGTGATCAGAATCAATAATTAGTGTCAGAGTTAAAAACAAAACAGGTGAAAACAACTAAAGATAATTTGGTGCAACCCCAGGTTGTTACAACGTGACTTCCACATTCAATTCTTTTTATGGAAGTCAATGGGAGAGTTGTATCTCTCTCTCTCTCTATGGCTCTGAGAGTAGTTACATTGGTAAAAGTAACCATGCATTTTATCCATCTGTGTATTTCTGCCATGGAGAATTATTTTAATTAGTTTCTAACAATCCTTTTTGCAGCAACAATAAAGATCTATTTTATTTTTAACTCTCACTCTTTGTTTTCAGGGAAAGGCTCCAAGTAAAAAAGTTCCTGCTCTGAACAAAGTCTCTTCGGTTCCAGTTGGATTGGATGGTAAAAGCACTTATAACACATAAAAACATACTTATTTACTTAAAAACTGTCCAAAATGATTTCACGGATGGTTCTTATTAAGTCACAGCATGATTGTTTCTGAATTAACCTTGGAAGAAGTGTGTTCAGAAAATGGATGGATGGATGGAGTCAGTTCAATCAAACATAGAAGAAGCTTCAGTACCATTACTCTGAATTACATCTCTTTAGCTTTTAGTAAGTGAAAACAAATGTATTAGGGCTTGCCATATTAAATGAATGAGAGCAGAAGAAGGCTTGGCGAAGCAATTCATTTTCTTCTGACATCTATAATTTTGATGATACACAGACAAATCTTTAGGGCTGCAACTAACGATTATTTTAATAATCGATTAATCTGTCGATTATTTTTTTGATTAATCGACCAAATCATTAAAACGCTTAATTGCATAAATATGAGTAGATATAAATTAATTTCATTCCTGTATAAATTAAGGATGCAAGTTATTGATTAATGAATTAATCTGAAGTTGATTTATCTTATAGATTGACCAACAGTTAATTGATAAGCAGCCATTTTCTTAAAAACTGGAGTTTTCTCTTGAATCAAGACGGTCTTTCCATAAAATGAAGGATTTTGTTTATAATCTCCTGAATTAAAAAAACAGAAGCACATCATACAGCGG